GCACTGATTCAAGCTCTCTGAAATATCGGATACCAGGATTTAAAATCACAGTAACGGTTCGCTTAAGTCCAACACTGGACGCGACCCAAAACAGCCATAAGGAATCATATGCAATCTCTAAACTTGTCTCTAAATGTATAAGTGGAACAGGTACAAAATGTCAAAATTTTCTTATGTATGTCAAAGATTATGTCGTGGAGATTGTTGAAAGATACGTGATGGGCGATAGATACCTCTCCTTTCCAAAATTAAAGATATTATCTATGTAGTTGTCCGTAGCTAGGATGCAAAGTTGATTTTACCCCGAAGCTTATCGAGACCAGTTTTCCGCCTCACCAGACGTGCGGTGGGGATATGCCAGGTGTACCAACTCTCAACGACTTTGACATATTGGCCTTGATAGCCGTTTTGGGCGGCGTCAACTGCCATGCTTAGATTTCAATTAAAATAGCTGCAAATTAAACTCTATCTGAGATGATGTAGGCACTATATTTCTGCACAAATCGTAGCATACGCAAGCCCCACGATTTTTAATTCATGCTGTAAACGTATCAAACAGACTCAAATCGTGTTAGTCGGCTGAAATATACCCGAACACTATCGCACACGATGCCATACATTACCACTGGGCCGTTGTGCAAAACAAAACTAGGCGCCTTCGATGTATAACAAACGCTATTCAAATCGACAGCACGTCGTAAAAAGAACCAGATTGCGCTGTGTAATTATGAGGGGCTGAACCGTGATGTTTCATGCATCGCGCCCTGGTTCAGCTAGCAGGTTGCAGATCCCAAATCTGACATTAACGCTTGCACGAGCCTCTTGCCTAAATTGCACTATACAAGACTAAAAACAAATGTTTCAAAAAGGTCGCATTCTTCACCCTTTTACAATTTTACGGTACTTGTACATCCTCTTAAACGGCAAAAAAATGCACTTGTACCTCTAAGCCTTAAGCGGGAAACTGCGTAAAACCCAGTATGGTTTTACGTTGAGCGGGTGCAGTGCAGGGACGCGGAAAAACCATGCATAGTTTACACATTATTATTATTTAAGTGTTTAGCAGCAATAGGGTTAATGCTGATTATGATCAACTTACGGCCCGTAGAGCGCGAACTTTGTTTAATGTTAGGCATCTGTTGAGCACACGGTTTTGAAAGCGTTTTGGTAGCGATTTTTGTAAAGGCGGATTGTGGACGGAACTGATCAAACCAATTCGTATTTTATATTTGAAGTGCTGTCGATTCCCATGTACTATTGATTTCGATAGATATCGTTTGGTTTCAACGATATTACTACCAAACGTCCGGAACAAGATTAAGAGGTCATTGTAATGTACGAATAACCAGGTTTAAAATGTATACGATGAAATATCATCTAACGCAAGCACTCCGGTAATATCTACAGTATCTCAAGCTCTATTTCCGCTCTCCCTGAAGTCCAAGGCAAGACAGCGTTTCAGATATGGCTTTAGCTTGAGCTTCAACTTGCTTGTGCTTGAACCAAGTTTCCGTACCGATTGCACCTTGAAACCAAAATTGTTGTAGTCAGCCATGCGCTTGGTCGGGTTACCTAGAAAGGGCGGGAATAGACTAGTTTACTTGAAGGTAATAGTCGTTTTGTCAGTGAGGTCAAAATCGACAACTGGCTCGCTGAACATGCAATCGCGGTCACTCCCTTTTTGGAC